CTATGTTAAATAATAGGTAAAAGTGACGCTCTAATTAAAATAAATTGTAAAATGAGCAAAAAAAAGTACTTTAAAACCCCATTTTCAGAAATGATATCCAATTTTCTTTAAAATATATCTATAGAAATAATACTACATGGAGATTCAAACAAAAAAACCTTAGATGATGCATAAAAATGTGTCGTAAAGTTATAAATTTGTTTAAGCGAGTGAAGCAGGAGTACAGTATCAATAAAACATGTAGGTACGCCATTTCTCGCGCAGTGCTCGTCTCGACGACGTAAGCGACGTAATGAGGAGTAACGGTGGACGTGTATAGCCCGCTTAATGTGTTGCATGGAGATAGATATTTTAGTATATAATATACTATGCATGAATATATAGTGTGCAATACATAACACGTATTTACTAGTTTACTATCCCTGACATTGTGTGGTTGTAATTTTTGTTAGGAATTTAAGACTTTTGTGCTTATAAGTTTATAAATATTTTCTTTATTAAGTTTCAAGTAGCGCCTAAACCTCGCCTCGTTCGGGATTAAATCATATATATATATATATATATATATATATATATATATATATATATATATATATATATATATATATATATATATATATATATAGCCTTCCTCATAAACGGGCTATCTAATGCAAAAATAATTTTTCTAATCTGGTTAGTAGTTCTATATAAAACTCCACTTCACTACTATATTAAAAAGACACCATGCACTTCTTTAAGCTTCAAGAAAATATAAAAGTTATTAAAAATATAATGCAAAATCTTATCAAAACCAGTTAACAATTTAGTTATTAAAGCAGAGAAAGAGACTTCTTTTAGCATCTTTAATATTGGTATCAAATAGAATGGACCACTAACAGATAAATTTTGATATACTTCAAAGTACCGATACCTTCGAATAATACCTAGAGAAGTTTAGGTGTGAGTGGCGTACCTAGATTTGTGAGCTGGGGATCGTTATTTCGATTCTCGATAGTTCATATTATGGTTTTCGTTAAAGAATAAAAAAAAAGTGGAGATAGCAGTAAACTATCGAATAGTAAAATATCTAAGGAAAATAGCGGAAATTGCCTAGATATGGCGGAAAATATAAAATAAATGAAGGTACTTTCATAGGTACCTACCTTTTTCTTGAAATCAGTCTAAATTTATTTATCTTCCATAACTTAACAAACAGATATAATTAAAAAAAATATTCAACATAGGTACAGATACTTTGATGTAGTTACAATTTTGTTATTTGTATAGATTACTTTATTGTGAGGTCATCGTAGATGCAGCAACAATTAAAAATTTTACGATCGTTTTATTATTAGTATAATTTGTAATTATTTACTTAATAAGAATACAAGTAATAATTTATGTTTAATTATGTACAGTATTTATGTTTTATAATTTATTGTAAGATAAATAAAAAAAGGCTATAAAATTTTTATGTTTCTAGGTGCATTTAAATATTATTTATAAAATTTTCTTTTCGGTATAGTGTGAGTTAGTATGACTAATATGGTGAAGTGCGTGTATAAATATAAATTATGTAGTCAATAGCTAGGTGTGGAAATCGATTCTGTAACTTTCGATATTAGGTATATACAGAGGGTGTTAATGAGTTTGATAGTTTTCTTTATAAGGAAGAGAGATGAGATGAAAATGTTAAAAGTCACATAATTTATGTTGAAATTAAAAACCAAAGAGATATCTAGCTAATGTTCGACCTCATTACATAGGTACATATAAGACAGTAATAAATAATTGTTAAATAAAATAAATTACTCAATTCTTTAATTGTAACCATTTAAGGAAAACACAATTATTATGTATTACAATATTAATATAAACATAAATTACAATTAAAATTACATACCATATCGAGTTAATTCGAATATATAATTTTATTTTATTGTAAAAAATTTATAATGAGTGAAATAAATAATATTTTGAAGATTTATTTATTTTTGGTGACCATAGCAAAGTGATAGCTGGTACGCAGTAGGCAAGCTTAGATCTAAATATCTTAAGTAACCAACAAAAGAGACAAATATTAATTAACATTATAATTATTTTTATTATTGGCTGGATTGTAGACATTGATTTTATTAGGCTTAGGCATCAAGTGTTCAAATCTAATTTGGCAAAAACTTGATAAAATCTATATTTAAACAAGAAGAGGAGTTTTTTGTGTGTTGAGTTTTTTGTCAGTATATTAGGCGATATCCTCGTCAATTGTAAACAGTTTTTTATGAGTTTCAACTTTATTCATCATTAGGATATTATTATTTTATAGCATGTAGGTACAACTACAGATTTTGAGGTCATGGGTTCGAGTCGTGGTCCTCACCAAGGATGGTTAATCGTTATTTTTCTGAGATTTTCTGACAAAAAATCTTTCTAGTAGCTCGTAGCTTGCAAATTGGCGATATTACACTTTTTTACCTCGGAGAGTAGTACACTTTTTTACCTACATGTAGCCGTCGGTCTTACGTAGGATTTTTCAGTGTTCAATTACTATTTCATTAGGTTACAGAGGTAAAGGGATAGAGAGTGCACTCGCATTTACGCATTACCTTGTGCGCTAAAATATCTCTTGCGCATATAGATGGCTAGTCTCCGTAAGATTGGCTGCCGTGACTGAAATTCAATCATGAGGATTTTTATTTAAGCCAAATTACATCAAAATCGGCTCTGCCGTTTTACCCTGAGAACCCAAGCATATAGATAGAGTTAGTTTTACATGAAAAAAATAATATTTATTTATAACTTCATTAACTTAAACACATATAAATACTGTAAAATAAATACTTGCTTTTATAAATCTCCCACACGATTATTTATTATTTAAGTAAGTTTGTTACATAAATAATAATAACACTCAATTATTATTATTATAGGAGTTATGTCCGCGTGGAATAGGTACCTATGGCAAAAATGCTAGCCGCATTCCCCCGCTGAATGGCAATGCTGATTATTTTGGTGGAAAACCAGCCAGCTCTCTTGTCACCAGTAGAGGCGATAAGACGAGGTGTTATGTATATTATATGTCTAGATATATGTCCCTACATACTAGGTAATGTGTATTATTTAAGATTTTATATTTTGATAGTATTTTATCAAATGATTATAAATACCTACCATATTACATACACAATTTAAATCAGTATCAGTACAAACATAAGTTATGATTGCTAAAAGTAAAGAAATATAATTAAATAAAACTTTTGAAACATCATCCATTTTTGAACATGTCTATAATATATATAATGCCATAAACTAGAAATCATATAAATAGGTAATATCACAAACAAAATTTATATATTTGAAAGTGGAACCACTTATCTTTAAAGGAGTATTACTAAATAAGCGCGTTCTAATTAAAGAGTAATTAAATTTGCTGAGAAAAAGAGAGCGCGACATTTAACTGATACTAATAAGATCGTTAAACAATTACGGTCCATCCAGGCTAGAGTGAGAGGGATCATCCCTCTCGCTCCTTTACACCGCATTCTCTATTTAACTTTTAATTTATACTCATTCCTTTATATCTTTTATTGCTTCGCCCATCGCAACTCCTAATGCGCCCGAGGTGCTCCTCACACTAATTAAATTCATGCAACACTAAGCTTTCCAAACACCCTATGTAGAGCCACCGCCCTCCTCCCCCCTCCCGTAGAGACTGACCAATCACGGGGCGAAGCGGCGTGTGTACAATAAGAAGGGGGGCGTGTGTAGGGTACAGTCAGTGTGAGATTTCTGATAGAGTTGTCACGTCGTGTCCGGGCGGATCGTTACGCTGTCTTGACATATTTTATTATTATTTATGTCAATTAGGTTATTACTTTTTTGTTTAATGGAATAAGGAATCGCTTGTGAAATTGATTGCCTTTCGGTCGCTTATGATTCATCACTGTCAAGAATATATTTTGTAACGTGTTAATTTCATATGATTGATTGTTGTGGGTCATTAAGTCGGACGCAATCTAGTTTTACGCAAGTTCTATTGTACCGCCTGATAATCTCGACTCTATCTTCTATTTTTAAGTTAGTTTTCTCTTGATTACTTGTTAAATTGAGTTGAAATAAAAAACGAAATTGCTGTTCTAATAAGATTTATCTTTTGAATGTCCAATTTGTACTCTGTTTAATAAATTACGTTAAAATTTTGAATTAGTATAATTGGTGAACACGTCGCTCGTATTTTTAAGATTTTCAATTTTACATTTACCCAAAAAATAACCATTTTTAAATACTAAGAAATAATATTAAGATATGATATCTATTAATATAATATTTATATTACAAAACATATCAAAGATACTGATAAAGTTCAAAACTACTAAACAATTTCTTTTTATGTATAAGTAGGTACATATTCAATATACAGTTACAATAATTTTATCTATTATTTTATATAATGGAGAAAACATGGATTTACCATATGAAAATGTTAGCGGCAACAATCTATAACATAACTTCTTGCCGATTATCTATATGTCTTGTTATAGAGGCGCGCCATGCGGCTAAAAAAGATTATGACGGCCCCACAGCCCCGTATAAACGTACGACGGCCTTATAAATCCTCTGAATATATCAAAATAACGAACACTAAACTCTATTCTTAAGAACATAGAGTCCTTTTCACTTTAATCGCATCCATCGTCTCCTATATCGTTAATTCCACGTATGGCAAGCCTTAATTTACGAGCTCTATTCAATACCCATCTGTAATTTAGCCACATAAGGTTTAATATTGTTTAGCGGAGTTACGTTGTAGAATAAATCTATAATATGAAAGGGGCGGGGAATTAATTTGTACACAGGTGGGGGTAGGGGGGCCTCGCTCCGCCCTGCGGCATCGCGCCATCTCAGTGCCGGGTCCGCTAGCACACGATCGAAACGTGATGTGTGGACAGTAGTGAAGAGAAATATAGTGTCAGAATGTTTGTTATCGATATAGTGTAGCCAAGATATCGAGTGAGGAGAGCATGGTGTTAGAGGGAGGCTTGCCGGCCCCGCTGCAGCTGTATGCGGCGGCGGCTGCCGGCCTGGCCCCAAGGCCGACGTGGCCCCCGTTCTTACCGTTTTTTGGTGTGCCACCGCCGTTCTTGGCGCGACCAAGACTCCCCCATCCGTTACCGACGCGGGCCCCTCATGGACCCCCCAGCGAAGACTCTAATGAAGACGGTGGAAGCAGTAAAGGTAGGTCATTATTGAACTAGATGTAGAGTCTTAGTAAATTCTTTGTTGTGATTTTGTTATTGATGAATATGAATGAAATATTTGAAAAAGCAATCCTTAAATTAGAGCATATATTTTTAATTTTGTTTTATAGACGATAATGACATTTTAGTATGTTTTAAATAGCACTTTAGCCAAAGTTGAGACCATGTCTGTTATGTTTTGTTTGTTTATTTAATTTTTGACAGTTTTATGAAAGAAACAAGCGGTCTAAACATCAACTTAAATACTGTTTTATATTAATCGCCCTGTTCATTTATTAAGATGAGTTTCATTGTTGCTATAGTATTATTTTCCACTGAGTTTCATTGGCCAATTCTCCTTACTGAGGCTTTTTTTCCGAACCGGTGCAGTGGTAAACACACGACGTACCGTTGAAAACATTGTGATAAAAATATTTTGATTTTAAATTTTTATTGTCAATATTGTATTAATTTTACCAATATACTATTATAATTTATAAATTTTAGACGTATACAAAGGTATATATTATACAGAAATAAATAAATATTTATTATACTTAAATAATTTGTCGATATTTATTAATATTAATCAGATTTTTATAATATACATTTTAATGACTTTATAAATAAATAAATAGTATTGGCTATATTAGAAGAGTAATATTTTGTTAAAAATACCAATAGAACTTAAAAATATATTTATCATTCATTTTCTGGTAAGTATATTTCAAAAATATGACGTGATACTCGTAGGTATATATCACGTTTAAAATTTTCCAAAAATGCGACGGCTGATCTTTATTTTATACTTTGTATTGTTGGAAAATACAAGATTGATTTAATAGTTTAACTTTTTGTTGGCTGAATGTGGCATGTTAAAAAAAATGACTTGATAATATTATTATTTACTATGTAAATAATTCTGTATTTAGTTTATAATTTTGATTTGAAAATTTTATTAAGTAAATTTACTTTACTTTTACTATATAAATAAAATAAAAAAATATTTTTATGTATTTCTCTACAATAGGTAATATAAAATTTGGAAAAACTCAGTAACAATATTTTTTTTTTAGATACAGATAGATTAGTTTTTAACTTTTGCTCTTTATCCGACGGTCTAGGATTGTATTTATACTTAGTACCTATGAGTTATATTTATACTACATTTAAAACAATAAGTTTCTAGTTAAAATTACGGATAATGTTATAAATAATTAAATTAAAAATTATAACACAATAAAAATATTTTATTTATAATAAAATATTTTTTTACAGTTGGTATAACATCGCAGTTTTAGCTACTTATGTGCCTAATTTAACTTTATAACTGGTGTTTTTCTAAAAAAAAATAATCCTAAAAATAAAAAATAAAGCTTTTAATATCTTATAATTAATTATATAAAATGAATAATTTCTTGTACAAAGATACTTATAACTTCATGAATAGTATCAACGTGACGCTAGTTTTCTCATTAAGAATGTCTCCCCAAGACATTTTAAATGCCATAATATAATATTTGCATCAATAATATTTTTTCCGAGATGTCATTAACTTGTCATCATTGAATATAAATGATCATAATTTCTGTAATTCCCATAACACAGTTGTCTATATTCATCAAACACTTGTAATTGTGAACAGATTCATGCTTGTTTTTTTATGTAGCCATATTTTTAACTATACCACATAAGTCTCTCTCCTCATTCAGTCATTTTTTTATTTGTTTGATTTATTTTCATAATTAAATTAAATGCTATAAAGAAACGGATAAATAGAAAAGAAAGCTTAAAAAACTAACAAAAAGTTATATTAAATTTGCAGGCAGATAATTTTTTTGTACGTAATATAAGTAATTAGTCCAACCTTTAGACAATTATAATATATTTTTATTATGTGTTAATATAGGATTATAAATTAATTTGAGACATTCATCGTGTTCTTGTGGCAATAAAACATTTATTAGTAGTGGTCTCAAACAAGTTGCCAAAAAAAACTTTAAAAGACCTTATAAATTATAATATACACAGCACCATAAGTTATTTCTACGATTCATGATTTAAAAACACAAATCAAAAATATCTTCTACCGCCGCATTGTTTTAAGTTTGCACATTCATGTAAGCTCCTTATATTGATATAGGTATATATATACATACACCTATAACTAAAATAATGTTTTAAAAGTCCATTTAACTACAGACAAAGTGCTAAAAATATTATTTAATATCTTAATTGTAGATATGGAATGAAAAATTAATTACTAATAACACAGAAGACATAATATCTACTATAGTAGTACCTATTAATAATAATTTTCTACTTGTATAGCCGTCCATTGAAGCCTTATGTCGACCCAATTTTGAATAAAAATGTATATATAAAAACACGATATTGTATATACATATACAGTAGTATATTAATCAATTACAGCCAGTACAGTTTGCGCGGCAAATCAAATGGGATGAGGCATTGCATGAAACCGGTTATAAGTCACGCAAAGTTGCCAATTTTTATCAAACTATGACTCATACGACCGATAGACATTAGAAATTAGTTATTAGTAGGTAGTATTTCACCACGGCTCCGACTGCGTGATATGTGTGGCAGTAGTAAAAAATAGCTTAGATATATCCTTTTGTTAAATATCTTGCTCAATTACTCACTTAGATTGCATTATTTATTAATGAAGTCATTGCTAAATTTCGTCAAAAACTGTTAAGCAATTTAAGCGTGAAATGTAAACCAACATACAGAATTTCCATAATGTTAATAATTTTAGTATAGATTCGAACATTTCTTAAATAAATATTATTAGACTTTTGTATGGGTAGGTATTTTTGTATAAAATAGAGATGCTCATATGAATATACTATTAATTGAAACTATAATGGCTGTTAACTAAAGTATATGTAAAAAAAGGTTTTGTTCAATACAAAAAATTCTAGAAATATCCTTATTCTTATTTACGAGTATTTAAATAAGACGAAGTCGGGTTTGTTACAACACTTATAACTCGAGAACTGCGGGATCGATTTTCATAGTCTTTGATTTATTAGATTTGTCTAAATATCGGAAAAACTCATGAAAAAAAAATTATATGGCTAACGCTGGCTAATAAATATTTATATCTATTTAAAGCATACTTATGGACGAACCCGAGCGAAGCGAGGGTGAGCCGCTAGTACTATCACAAAGAGTCTGTTTATTTTGTTGTACCTACATAAAATGTAAGTAGGGAATAACGTCAAATTACAACAAAAAAATTAGATTATTTTAAGGAACCCGTACTTAAAAGACGAAAAGGATTTATTATATTTTCATCATGCCTGTCTATCCATATGTTACAGCCACATATCCCCCGACACTTTGAAAGAGATTGCTACTATATTATAGCTGAAATATTTGATAATATGAATTTATATAATTTTTCAAGAAGATTGTCATAAACAAAAAAATAATATTCGAAAATATTTTTCGAAATATTATGTTGAAAATGAATGTAAATACTGTTTTCTTATAATTTTATATTTTAAACAAGGCAATGTAGAGCTTCTTTACTAGTAATAAATCCCTTTATATAATTAGGTACAATGTATATTTTCTTAGATTTACAGGAATATTTGACATTTTAAATAAAACTATCTTTTCGTATTATTTGGCGGATTTATTTTGGTTCCCGACAATTCGAATGCTTTACAGCAATCATGATCACGGGAGAGCATTCGAAACGTCGGGAACCAAAAATAAAAGTAAATCCGCGAAATAATTCAAAAAGATAGTTTAATTTAAAATACAATGTATATTATTAAAAGCGGCGAAACCATACACTGTTCAGTGTCTCATGTTTTTCTAATTTGCTTTTGTATGTACATATATGTACATACATAGGTATATCCTTGAAGATTTCCTTTGATAGTCTCTTTATATATTTATTAAATTAAAAAGTAGATGAAGTTACTTTTAATTATTATTTTATAAGTTCAGTATTTCATATAAACTGCATTTTAATATGAATGATACAGTAATATGTAGGTAATATAAATTTCACTTGCCTACGTGGAACGCGGTTAAAATTGCCAATATTATCAAAAGATTTATATCTTACTACAAATGAAAGAATTTTTAGAATAGGGACATTACGTTTTTCTTAGAGATTATCATAAAGCAAATTAAACAAACAAATTAATAAACACATTTTATTTCTATATTATATTTCAGATATTCCTTGCTAACAGCATTTACTTTATAAAAAAAAATAGAATTAATATAAAATACATTCCGACCACGGAACAAATTTAGGTCTACAAGAAACAAAAACAATTTCGGTTAATAAGAAACCATAGCTACAGGGATCATATTTCAATAATTATTTTTGTTTTGCCTATAAGAAAATTATTACCTACTAGCGACTTACCCTCGCATCGCTCGGGTACATCCCTGGGTACATTTGAATTTTTTTGAGCGGAACCCTATTTTTTTTTCTAAAATAAAAGTAGGAAGTTAAGTAAAGTCCTACAATAATAATAATAATAAATAATTATTATAATAATATTCTTTAACAATCTTTTCAATAACTTTCTATTGATCTATATAAATTAATCAATAAATAACTATGAAAATACAGTTCACAACTTATACTTTCTTTTATAAAAGAATATTAATAACTAGCGATTAATCCTCGTTTCACTCGGGTTCGTCCCTGGATACTTTTTAACGGTTAGTATGGAATAGAAACTCTGTTAAAATCAAAACAAATCTAACCCACGGGAAACGTATATTTTTCCGGAGTAAAAAGTAACTTATGTGCTATTCCTGACTATAATCTCTCTGTGCTAAATTTCATTCAGATCTGTTCAGCCGTTCTGGCGTGATTGAATAACACATATGCATCCATCCAAACTTTCACATTTATATAATAGACAAGCGTTGCTCGCGGTTCCGCCCGCGTTCAGGTTACCAAAAACCAAATTCTTAGGTTTTACATATTAGTATACT